GCTGATAACCGACACGTAAAGAAGAGTGAGGCCAAGCGTAGTGGGCTATGAAAGCATTTCTCACTTGGGGCCCAATCTGTAATTTCACATAAGAAAAAATTCTCTTTCCACTCTAAGTCAAATGATTCTTTTTTTTTAAAAAAAAAGACAGGGTCTTACTCCTGTAGCCCAGGCTGGAGTGCAGTGGTACCATCATGACTCACTGCAGCCTCAATGTCCCAGGCTCAGGTGATTCTGCCACCTCAACCTCCTGAGTAGCTGGGACTACAGGCGTGTGCCACCATATCTGGCTAATTGTATTTTAAGTAGAGGCAGGGTTTTGCCATGTTGCCCAGGCTGGTCTCTAATTCCTTCTCTAAAGCAGTTTGTCTGCCCCAGCCTCAAATGATTTTTTCTTTAATCTCCCGAGAATTTCTGAAGGCTGGATGCTCAGGCCTGATTAGCATGGAGACTTACTGCTTCTGAAGTTTGCTGGAAGGGGAATCTGGAGCCTCACAAATTGGGTTGCTAATGTCATTCTCCAAATTCTAGCGGTGGTTGCTGAGTTATGTGCAAATACACCTGGCCTGGGTTTTGGTACAGTCTGTCATTCCTCCGTGGTAGAGTATTTACATGGAAGGTGGTTATGTTAAATTCAGCTTTGAAATAATCTCATGCCAATCCCTTCTTATGGCCCCATCAGAAGTTTATTATGGCAAAGAACACAAACTATGCTGCAAAAGTCCTTAGTTTGCTTGCTCACTTGCCCTTTCTCAATCTGTCTCTCTCTGTCTCTGTCTCTTTCTCTCAAGTAATAAAAAATGATTAATGGAGTAAGCTTAGTTAAGAAGAATTCTATGCGAAGTTATTTCACATAAATTGAATTTCTTCCATGATACTGTATTTTTATCTCTGCTTTATCATTGCCTTTTTGTTTGAATTAATGCAATAATATTACCAAAATCATCCTCTATTACACTACCGTTTACTTTCACATTCAAGGCAACGATGTCATTTACAGATGAAACTATTTGTCCTTGTTAAAACAGACAAGGCAGTTGGTACATTCAGACTCAATTACTAAGTTGCATGATTGATTCCAAGATAGAGCTGAGGGATAAGGCAAATGAAACTTGTCATTAACTGTGCAGTATGTTTTTCTTCTACTAGATCTGATGGGAGAAAGATTCACATAGCTGTATTTAAGAGGGAAGTGAATGGAAGTTAGCTCAGATCAGTTCCCAGGAAACAGACTCTAAGACAGAGTTTAGGATGCCAGATGTTTATTAAGGAGTGCCCTTAGGTCAATACCTGGGGAAGAGAGAGAGGGGAAGCAGGAGTGGGCTGAGGGAGAAGGTGAGCTGGATATAGGCCCAGTGACAGACCCTACAGACTCAGTGAAGAGCTCTGAAGCTGGAAGAACCCTTTAGTATTGTGCTGATGAGCCAAGATGGCCAGACCTTGTACCACTTCACTGATCAGTTATTGGTGTCCTGGGCAGGGGCATGATTCTGGGTGAGGTGGCTTTTTATAGTTGAGGCAGTCCTTGAACAGGATGGTGGTTGAAGGCTATCTGCTGGGTTCTAGGTCCTAGACTCCAGGTCAGTGATTTTTAACCTGGGGACATTTGACAATGTCTAGAAATATTTCTGATTAGCACAACTAGAAAGATGCTACTGACATCTAGCTGGTAGCATCTGGGGTGCTACTAAACTTCCCGCAAGTCACATAGCCTCCGAGAACAAATAATTATCTGGTCCACAATATCAATAGTTCTCAGGTTGGGAAGCTCTGCTCTGGAGCAACACGTTCCTCTTTGAAACGGAACCTGGTGGGCATCATAGCATCCATACCAGGAGTCATCATTAATCAAGGTATTACTGCTTCTCAGGCACAATGTCATGTTCTTTATTTCTCTAACTCTTCCTACAAACTCTTTGAGGCAGGACTCAGAGTTTCCACTTACTAAAGAAAAAACAGTGCTCAGAGTAGTTCAGTAAACTGCCCCACGTTATGAGTTGGAAGGACACCAAGGTGGGATTTAAAGTGGGCCATCTTGTTGAAAACATTTTGCTATCTTCTGGCTTTCCCTTTGAAAGAGTTCAGAACACACAACCCCAAAATATGCCCCTCTGGCACATTGACTATTTTGAGTCAAAGGCACTTAAAAATAAGAGCAGGTGCAAGAAGAACACTCTTGCAGTCCTTTTTAAAAGGAGGAGATACAGTTTCCATGTGAAATATATCCTCCCTGTACTAGAAGGAAAGTGTCATTCTTATCATCAAGGATGAGAAATTGAGGCCATGGAAATCTGTATAAACACACCTTGTTAAACTAACTCTTATCTTTCTTGTCACTTTACCCAATTAACTACCCTAGCCCAAGCCCTTTACCTTGTTACATCTTCATAATCTACTCTCTGTCCAATTTAGTATATGTGTTCAACTCTAACTGCATCTTTGAGTCTTCATTTTCTTATGAAGCCTCCAATGCCACATAAAACTTGAGTTGAATTTGTATGTTTTTTTTGTCCTGTAGATATGTCTTGTATCAATTTAATTATCAGCCACAACTGAAGAACCCTAAGAAGGCAGAGGTAAAATCTTGCCTTTTCTACACCTTGATGACTCCATGCAGCAGTTCTCAAACATTTTTTTTTCTCTCCAAATGTGAGATACATGATGCTCACATGTTCACTTTGCTCCCGTGGAATTCCTGGGGCTTAAGCTGTAAACTCACTTCTATCCCACTTAAAAGGTACATTGGAACACGAATGGCATGGCACAAATATAGGAATGACACTGAATACTGTCCAGTTTATATTTTTAGTAGACTATTCCTGAACTCGGAGTCCTTCCCAATAGTAACATGCATCTCACAGTAAGCTTGCAGCTAATTTCCAAATGGAGAGTAACGCCTAGTGGTAGTCTTGGTGAATACTTGTAAAGAGCCTACAACGCTTTCAGAATTTGTGTTACGCTGTTGCTTCATTATCTGTATCACTGAATGATTAAGTCATTCAAGAACATTCCTCAGATGTTACTGGCACCTTAAGAACCCTTGGAATCCAAGTATTGACTCATAAATTTAATTTAAAAAGAGCATCTACTATGTTCCAGAAACTGTTCTGCCTTCTCATTTTGAAGAGTAGAATTTACTATTAATAGTAAAGTCTTCCACAGGAGCAGAGAAAAGCAGATCTCATTTTACAGACAAATAGTTGAGCTTAACAAAGCCAATTTCTACTCTCTGAAACAAAATCACATAGATTTTGACCTTTTTAACATGGCATCTTGCAAAGGGAGTGAACAAACATAGGCTATGTAATAGTGTCAACAGAAATAAAAGGCAATACACATTTAACAAAAAGATATAAACAAAAATGACTTAGCTATTTTATTATTATTGACCTCAATAATAATGTTGGCTATTATGGTCCATAGCAGCTGCAGTTTTTAGATTCTAACATAGTGCCAGTAACTTTAAAAAAAAAAAAAAAATCTGTCATTAATTCCAACAGCACATTTCTTTTTTTTTTTTTTTTTCACTTTTTATAGATTTAGGAGGTAAAAGTGCACTTTTGTTACATGAATATATTGTGTAATGGTGAAGTGTACACTGTACCCTTTAGGTAATTTCTCTTCCCTTGCCGCTTTTCACCTTTCTGAGTCTTCAGTGAATTATTCCACTCTCTATGTCCATGTGTACACATTTTTTTTAGCTCCCACTAAAAATGAGAACATGTGGTATTTGTCTTTATGTAACAGTTGTTTTACTTAATACCTTCTAGTTCCATCTATGTGGCTGCAAAATTCATGATTCCATTCTTTTTTATGGCTGAGTAGTATTCCACCTACCATCTGTTCTTTATCCAAGTCTCCATTGATGGACTTAGGTTGACTCCATATTGTTACTATTGTCAATAGCGCTGTGAATAAAAGGAATACAGGTTTTTAAAAAAATAATATTTTTCCGTTGAGTAGATACTGAGCAGTGAGATTGTTGGATGGAATGGTAGTTCTAGTTCTAGTTCTTTGAGAAATTTTCATACTGTTTTCTGTAGAAGTTTTACTAATTTACATTCCCACCAACAGCCCCCAACACACTTCTGTATGGTGGGAATTATCACCTTCATTTTACAATTGAAAAATACAGACCAGAAAGAGTAAAACAACTTGGTTGAATTTATACAGAAATCCATTGGCAGGGAAAGCTGCCACACTCGGACCACTTTCTACAGCTACAAAGCCAAATTTAGAGTAAATTACACATTTACATTTGTCAATTTGTTTTTTTCAATCAAATTCTATAAACACTACTAAGCAAAATATAGTATAAGCAGTAGTGTGCTGGTAAATGTTTAAAGATTTGCTCTCAAAAGAGGTGTATGTGTTATATAAGCTTATTTTTCATGTTACTGACATAAAATATGTGTAGCACATAATTTACAGATATAATAGTATCTGTAATACTCTTTATTATATATTCAAAATAGTTCATTGATTTTCACGGAATGCTTTTGTTGAATTTTACCTAAGATGTGTATCCATAACAGTTTGTGTTATTAACCGTCCCATGATATGGGTCATGAATGTTAGTTGATGTTTTCAGATTATGAGCCACTGATGTGACATCAGGTACCATGAAGCTGGGAAGAGGCTTGTGTAGTATTTCACCATACACATATGACAGACATACATAGGTAATAGTCAAATGTGCAAAGTAATTAGAAAGGGATGAGTTCTGACTATTGAGTATCTGTGTTTTGACATCATTTATTTAAGATTCCTGAAAACTTAGCAGTTGGTTCTTGTAAGCTGATGTAACTGCTGATAGGGAACAGTTACCAGTTACCAGTTAATCAAATGTTTCCATTTCCATTGTCCCCTACTCCAACTGGTAGCTCTGAGTATGTAAGTAGAGGGCATCACATTATCAAGCAAAATAGATGTTGAGATATATGATGTTGAGTAGAGTTGTTTCTTTAATATTTATTGTTATTTTTGTGGTTTATTCACAGGCATTTCCCTGCATCTCTACAGGCATTTATGGTAAGTGATCTAGCTTTTGATGATGTTTGTATTTCTTTATTGTTAAATGCAGAGGTTAAGTGAAAATATAAGAGGCTCTCTGATGAATATATTTTGCTGTGATTTAAAGAGACTCAAAATGCTGGTCAAATCTCATTAAGGAATGTCAAGAGGCTATTCAGATTCTTTTGTGTTCTTGAATTTTGTTGTGCTGAATATCACATGAAATGATTTGATACATTGTGGCTTGATGTCTTGGTTAAACAAAAAGTTTGGTCTTAGTAGGACTGACCTCTAATATTGCTTTATTTAATAAATTCAAATTTCTTCTCATTAAAAACTATCATGTATATAGAGCTTAGCAGTATCATTTTGTTGCTATTTATAAAATAATAGAAAAATTAAAATGCATACATATGCATATATCTGTATTTTAAATTTTTAAAAGTCCAAAGAAGTGACTTTTAATAAATATGAATAATTTTAATAAACTGAATTTTTTTAGCATAGTGATGGTTGTTTTAAGTAGTGAATGCTTCGCTTACAGATGGCAGCAAAATGTTTTTTAATCACTTGTTTTTACTAGCCTAAAGCTCTCTAAATATTCTTCCATCTACCTGAAAGAACTTTTTGTATAATTTTTTTCAGACCATTAATAAGTTCGTTTTATAACGTTAAGAATTCTCTGATCCAAATATAATAGATTACATTCTTTCTGAATTTAAACTTCTCACATGGAGGCTGTCAGCTAAAGCATAAAATATGTAAAAATCTAACACACACACACACACACACACACTATTTTTTCAAATTTATTACTACAATGAAGGACTACCTACACTGATGACAAATATAGGAGCTTTTTTTTTTTTCTTGATCTGGTATTACTTTTGATGGTCTTGGGCAAAATAAAATGGAATATGTAAGCCTGAACCAAATTAAGTGGGAATCTAGTCACACTTTTTAAAAAGTTAAGGTGTGCCTTCTTGCTCTCCACAGTCTCCTATAGCCTGTCTTTGTGGAAACAGAATGGGCACTGGGCTGGAGGGGGCTAAACTAGACCATCTGCACAGTTATTCCCATCATGGCCATTCTTTCTGCCTCACAAATGTCCAGTAACAAATCTTAAATATTTGCTTAATGGAAGTATTATGTATAAACTTATGCCTAAAAAATACTCTAATGCTTTATATCACCTTATCTAGAGTCAAACCCAACTTCATTGCAGAAATGGTTTCTATTATGAGAATGTTCTTTCATTGCAATCTGGATTTACCTTGGCAAAACAAACAAAGAAACATACTATGTACATCATTTTATATGTTTATTACCTTGTCAGAGAGTCAAAGTATGTTTTACTTTTGAGAATCTTATGGCAATGTGTAAAATTAGTCTCCATTATGATCATGTCAATAGATGCAGAAAAAGCATTTGATAAAATTCAGCGTCCTTTATAATAAAAACCCTCAACAAAATCAAGGTAGAAGGGACTTAGGTTAAAGTAATAAAAGCCATATCTGACAAACCAACAATCAATATTATACTGAAGGGGGAAAAGTTGAAAGTGTTTCCTTTTAGAGCTGGAACAAGACGAAGATGCCCATTTTCACCACTTATATTCAACGTAGCACTGGAAATCCTGGCCAGAGTGATCAGATGAGAGGAAGAAATAAAAGACATCGAAGTCAGAAAAGAGGAAGTTAGACTGTTACTCTTCTCTATGATATGATCATTTACCTAGAAAACCCTAAAATTAATCTAAAAAGCTCCTCAATCTGGTAAACTAATTCAATAAAGTCTCAGGTTACAAAATCAATGTACAGAAATCAATGCACCACTATAAACCAACATTGACCAAGTTGGAAATCAAATCAAGAACTCATTCCCTTTCACAATAGCTGCAAAAAAAAAATTCTAGGATTATACTTAACCAAGGAAGTGAAATATCTCTACCAGGCAAACTATGAAACACTGCTGAAAGAACTCATAGATGACACAAACAAATGGAAATACATTCTATGCTCACAGATGGGTAGAATCAATCTTGTGAAAATGACCATACTGTCTACAGATTCCCATCAAAATACCATCATCATTCTTCAGAGAACTAGGAGAAAAAAACCCTAAAATTCATATGGAACCAAAAAAAGAGCCTGCATAGTGAAAGCAATATTAAGCAAAAAGAATAAATCTGGAGGCATGACATTACTCAACCTCAAATTATACTACAGATCTATAGTTAATAGAACAGCATGGTACTTCTATAAAGTAGGCATGTAGTCCAATGGAACCGAATACATAACCCAGAAATAAAGCCAAATTCTTACAGCAAACTGATTTTCAACAAAGCATACAAAAACATAAATTGGGGAAAGATACCCTATTCAATAAATGGTACTGGGAAAACTGGCAAGCCACACATAGAATGAAACTAGATCCTCATTTCTCATCTCACACAAAAATCGACTCAAGGTGGATAAGACTTAAATCTAAGACCTGAAACCATAAAAATTCTGGAATATAACATCAAGAAATCTTCTAGACTTTGGCTTAGGCAAAGAATTCATGACTAAGACCTCAAAAGCAGATGCAACAAAAACAAAATTAAATAAATGGTATCTAAATTAACTAAAAAGCTTCTACACAGCAAAAGAAATAATTAGCAAGCAGACAACCATAGGGTGGGAGAAAATAGTTACAAACTGTGCATCTGACCAAGGACTAATACTCACAATCTACAAGAAACTCAAACATATCAATAAGAAAAAAAAGTCCCATCAAAAAGTGGGCAAAGGTCATAGATAGGCAATTCTCAAAAGAAGATATACAGACAGACAACAAACATATGAAAAAAATGCCCAACAGCACTAATTATCAGGGAAATACTAATTAAAACCACAATAAGATACCACCTTACTCCTGCAAGAATGGTCATAATTAAAAAGTAAAAAAACAGTAAATGTTGGAGTAGATGTGGTGAAAGGGAACACTTTACACTGCTGGTGGGAATGTAAATTAGTACAACCACTATGGAAAACAGTATGAGATTTCTTAAAGAACTAAAAGTAGAACTACCATTCAATCCACCAATCGTGCTACTTGGTATTTACCCAGAGGAAAATAATCATTCTATGAAAAAGACACTTGCACACATATGTTTATAGCAGCACAATTCCCAATTGCAAAGATATGGAACCAACCTAAATGGCCATCAACCAATGAGTAGATAAAGACAATGCGGTGTGCATAAACCTCATGGAATATTACTCAGCCATGAAAAGAAATGAAATAATGTCTTTTGAGGCAACTTGGATGGAGCTGGAGGCCATTATTCTAAGTGAAGTAACCAAGGAATGGCAAGTCAAGTATAGTATGTTCTCACTTAAAAGTTACAACTAAGCTATGAGGATGCAGAGAGATAAGAATGATATCATGGAATTTGGAGTCATGAGGGTGAAGACTGGGAAGAATGTGAGGGATATAAAACTGCCTTTTGGGTGCAGTGTACACGTGTACACTGTTTGGGTGACAGGTACATCAAAATCTCAGAAATTACCACTGAAGAATTTATGCATGTAATGAAAAACCATGTGTACCCCCAAAAACTATTGAAATAAAAATTAAGTTCTAAAAAAGTTTAAAAAGGCATTTTACTTCATCACCATAATACAAAAAAGCAGAAGAAAACATATTTCCTAATACAGTAGCCATACTTTAAAATATTCAAGTATCTCATGAGAAATATATTTTATCTATAATTCATTAACAATTCATCATTCACTTAATAGTGTTTACTTGTTCCACACACAATGTAATAATTTAAACACACACACAAAATAATTGTTAGGTCATATTCTATGGATATGTTTAACTGTATTGTGAAATACCAAACTGTTTTCCAAAGTGATTGAATCAAATTATCCTCCTACCCACTCTACCCACTCCGTTTGAAGAGCACCATGTTCCCTATCCTCTCCAACGTTTGATATTGCCAGTCTCTAAAATTATTGCCAAATTCCTGGGTGTGAAATTTTATCCCATTGTTTAAATTTGCATTTTCTTGATTATTAATAATGTAAACTTTTTAAATATCAAAAACAATAGAGGCTCCAGAGTGGGCAGTAAGAACTAATTGAAATCTAGACTGGATCATGGTTCATTTTAATCTGTGAAGAATAGAGATTTCACCCTAGAGAGAGTAATGTGGTTCAAAACATAATAACTGGTTCAGTATACCATTGTGGTGAATGAGAAGGAAATAGGAAATATTGTTGGGCATGGCATTAATAGAGTGAGTCACATTAGCTGTCTTGAAGGGCTGTCACCAGGCAAGTTTTGTCATTTTCACAATGCTAGGTCAAAGAAAATACTTCTTAAGTCCTGGCTACTTGTCTCTTTCGCCTCTGTTTTTCTGGTAAATTTAGAAGTGAGACTGATATACACAAAGGTCATGTGCCATATTGCTTTTGGTTAGCCCCACTGGGTGCTGAAACCTAGGTTTCCTTTTAGCTTCCTAACATCCTGTTTCAGTAACTTCAGATGACCACATCTCTGTGGTTTATAGACAATTCAGTGTTATGCAACATGAAAATTATTTCATGTGTCCTGTATTAGTCTGTTTTCATGCTGCTAATAAAGAAATGCCCAAGACTGGGCAATTCACAAAAGAAGGAGGTTTAATTGGACTCGCAGTTCCACATGGCTGGGGAAGCCTTACAATCATGGTGGAAGGCAAGGAAGAGAAAGTCATGTCTTACACAGATGGCAGCAGGCAACAAGAGAGCTTGTGCAGAGAAACTCGCATTTTTAAAACCCTCAGATCCCATGAGACCCGTTCACGATCATGAGAACAGCATGGGAAAGACCCACCCCCATGATTTTATCATCTCCCACTTAGTCCCCCCCGCAATATGTGGGAATTACGGGAGCTACAAGATGAGATTTGGGTGGGGACACAGAGCCAAACCATATCATTTACGGTTAATAGACCATTCAGCATTATGCAACTTGAAAATTATTTC